GAAAATTCTAGCACTCAACTACTTTAGTCAAACATGTTAATAGAGATAAACAAATAAAAGAGGAAAGACATCACCGATATAATTAAACTCCAGATTCCTTGCACTAACTGTCGATGACTTGTGTACAAAAATCTGAATTTAATACTTCAATTATGCTTTGCCCGTCACTCATCAATCGTTTTGTTTAACTTTATTACATGATGGCATGACCTCTCAGCTTGCTCTCGTGTGAATTATCGTCTTTTCAATCAAACATGACCGCAATGATTTATCAGTGTGTGTCGTATATTCTTTTTAGGAATAAGCACCTTTTACAGGGAAATTTGGTAGGGCAGTTTGTAAGGGCTGAGATGGCAGCTTGTGACTGGATGTGTTAATTGTTTTCTGTTCAATTGCTAATGGAATTCTTTCAAGTGTAAATTTGATAAAATCCCCTAGCAATGTAGCATAATTGTTCCTTTTTATGTCTGGAACTTCGTTTGGCCACGAACAATAGCTTATATGAATATACATGTAAGACCCTTTATGGTACAAATAAATTTTTTTTCTGAAATCAATTTCTAGTGTAAATCATTAGACTCCGAAATGAGATTAGGGGACTCTCCAACCCACTTCAACTGCAAAAATCGAACAAAATTTCTAGCAAGGACGGGGGCTAGACGATATGCCGAATGACAGTGCATTTCGAAGATGAATAATTGAGTTTTGCCATGTGTACCGCAATTTTTTATACTTTGACAGCACTCTCACATGGGATGGGATCTACGAGTACAAAATTGCTGTACACAGCAAAATTCTTCGGTTATATTAGCAATCAAAGCGGCCTCATGATAGCATGGGGAGGAGGATTATTTACATCAGAAAAATGGATCTAAAAATGGAAGTAAATGCGGAATCCGAAGGCTTTTTTTCCCCTACGCGTTCAATTTGCCTATACACATACAGGTTCCGCGGACGATTTCATGAAAGCATCAGGGTCAATGATCTGGAATTTTGGGGTGTAAATTTTGTGCATTGAACTGAAAGATGTTACAATATCGCAGGTAAAAAATGAAAAGAAAAAAAAAGGTGATTTAGAAGAAGAATACTTGGATTTGATGACATACTTCCACAAAAAGAGATAAAAGTGGATTATAATTCAACAAAAATGAGTAAAAAGAGCAGCTTAAAAATGAAATATAAACGGTTTCTTTCACTGGAGTTAAACCATGAGGTTCATCAGTTGTGCAACAGAAGAAATTATATTATACTAATGTATACATGATAAGCCATCTTTGAAGATGGTTTAGTCGCTTCTCTAAAACCAAAAGGTGACCCCTTACGTTATCCGTGCAATCTATATAATATAAGGTACCATCATAAAAAGGTTAAGGAATATGGGTGATCCCAAATGTATACAGGAATTATTAAAAATATTTGTCGCATAAAACGAGCTATTAGGTATTTGCTCCAGTAATTCATTTGTCCCCTCAACTCAAACGGTCGTCTAAGGACCAATTCAAGATGTAAATTGTTGACGAAATTATTGTCTGATAAAATATTACTGTAAGTGCACGTTTTATTGACAAGTAAAATGAATTTTGACTTCAAGTATTGTTCACGCAGAGATTATACTAACTCAAATTCAAATTAACTTAACCTTCACTGAAACAATTAAAGTTGTTATTTTTTTAATAAATTAAATAATCTACTTACGAATGCAAGACCTAAGTTAACTAAAATCAACATAAAGTTATAATGAAATGCAAGTTTTATAAACATATGACGATGAAATGAGTACTAGAATTTGAATCCCCTTATATAAATTCCCTTTAACACGGGAACTTATAAATTTGACAACACGATTCAATTATGAAGACTAATATTCCCAATTTGTTTAACTATTTCCTTTGCGTAGAATTAAATATATTTTTACATGTGATCCAACTACATTTCTATAACAAATGCAAACATATAAAAATGTATTAAAAATTTATAAATACTTAGAGATCACATAAAGCATAGCAATATATTTCAATCCCCTATTGGACACTACGACAATTGAAACTATATTTAACTTATTTTCCATCTTTCAAAGGTAGAACAAGCCACAATATTCATGCAATTAGTAATCAAATAATTGTAAAAAAATAAAAGTAAAAAAATCCATGCCCATCATTCAAGAATCGAAAACGTGCTTTAAATGTCAGAAAGACATAAAATTACTAGTTAAATATTCATGATAGAAGGTTCATCGAAAATTCTAGCACTCAACTATAGTCAAACATGTTAATAGAGATAAGCAAATAAAAGAGGAAAGACATCACCGATATGATTAAACTCCAGATTCCTTGCACTAACTGTCGATGACTTGTGTACAAAAATCTGAATTTAATACTTCAATTATGCTTTGCCCGTCTCTATGCGTGCCTGTCGTCTTTCTTCTCTGTGTGTCTGGCTTCTGCGTGACATATTTTATTATTTTTATTATTTTTTTTGCGTGTATATATTTTTTTTCTTGGCCGCGTTTTCTTTTCAGGCCCCAAAAGAAGTCCAATTTTTCACGGCCTTTTTAATTCTCTCGCCGCCGGCTTCTTCTTTTCCTCTCAATTGGCCGCCGCCAATTCTCCTTCCCTCAGAAAAAACTTCCCGCGGACATTTATGTGGTTCCCATTTACAAGAATCAAAATGCTCAATAATTCTTTGTTTTGCTCAACTGTTTTTGCATTGTAAAAGGAAGGGAAGTGAGTATGCCATACTGATGTTGAAGACTCTGGAAAGCACCTAAGCTTCGCATGCTTATTTGGAGGACGTTTCATAATGTTATTCCTTAAATCTGGTAATTGCATATACTGTGGGCAGCCAGAGGACATTCGAGTTCAACGTACTCTGTTTTGGCGCTTTACCATTAAGAAAATAGGGAATAACTTGGGTGTGTTGTGGAGTTTGCGCAAACAAGTAGATTTAATGAAGACGTCAACAGGATCTTCCATCGCTGATCAGTAGAAGAATTCGATCCAATATGTGCATCATTTATTGTCTGGCAGAAGAAACGGTGCATCACACGGAGATTCAGCACACAAATTGATGCCTTAGTAACGATGGGAAAGGTACCAAGGAATGGACTTGGCTCATGGAAGTAGCAAATGAGGTAAAATTGATGATTCTGGGCAATTCGAAATGATGTTTGGACAGACATCAAGCCCAAGAATTTACACGGTTTAATCTTCCCTCAAGAGATTGCATAGGAAAAAGATTATTTATTTTTTTAGGTATCCAACTTGACAATATAATGAATATATTACTTAAAAAGAATGTTTTCCAGATCAGACCCAAAAGTTGAGCACCATCTTAAAAGCTTAGCCAAATGTTTCATTTGTTGGGTTTAACCTAAAAACATAATCAAAAAGGAAAATATCTTTATGCTAATCACAAATGACATACAAGACTGATAGTTGGGCTCCCAGGCATCGTGCACAATGGGATAAGATAAAAACAACAATATAGTAAACTAACAAATTTAACAACCATAATCAACTGTAAGCTATTTGGCATTTAGCAACAACCATATTAATCAGATTAACTGAAACTGATTTCATTTTTCGTACTAATTCCCAAAAGAAATAACAGAAAAGGAAGAAAAAGAAATGCATAGCCCCACAAATTCTTCATATAACTACACCCAATCGCTCACTCATCATCCTCGTCATCATCTTCATCATCATCCTCCTGCAATTGTAGTTTACCAAAAGCAGAAGAAAATTAAGTACACAAATATTTTTTATTACAGCTGAAACTAACTGAAAAACTGGATTTGACCAATTATGTGGTGAGGTGAACTATAAAATATAGACAATATTAATAAAAGCAAAAAAGAAACTATTATCTTATCCCATCAAATCATATCCATCCTAGGATACCAGACCAAAAAGCAACTTTATCACAACAGAAGATTTAAACTACATACACAATTTTGACAAATCAAGGAGCAGTTGAAGCTAAAATCATATCTACTATAAGGTCAAGTTCTCAATTAAAACATCTCTATGCGTGCCTGTCGTCTTTCTTCTCTGTGTGTCTGGCTTCTGCGTGACATATTTTATTATTTTTATTATTTTTTTTGCGTGTATATATTTTTTTTCTTGGCCGCGTTTTCTTTTCAGGCCCCAAAAGAAGTCCAATTTTTCACGGCCTTTTTAATTCTCTCGCCGCCGGCTTCTTCTTTTCCTCTCAATTGGCCGCCGCCAATTCTCCTTCCCTCAGAAAAAACTTCCCGCGGACATTTATGTGGTTCCCATTTACAAGAATCAAAATGCTCAATAATTCTTTGTTTTGCTCAACTGTTTTTGCATTGTAAAAGGAAGGGAAGTGAGTATGCCATACTGATGTTGAAGACTCTGGAAAGCACCTAAGCTTCGCATGCTTATTTGGAGGACGTTTCATAATGTTATTCCTTAAATCTGGTAATTGCATATACTGTGGGCAGCCAGAGGACATTCGAGTTCAACGTACTCTGTTTTGGCGCTTTACCATTAAGAAAATAGGGAATAACTTGGGTGTGTTGTGGAGTTTGCGCAAACAAGTAGATTTAATGAAGACGTCAACAGGATCTTCCATCGCTGATCAGTAGAAGAATTCGATCCAATATGTGCATCATTTATTGTCTGGCAGAAGAAACGGTGCATCACACGGAGATTCAGCACACAAATTGATGCCTTCGTAACGATGGGAAAGGTACCAAGGAATGGACTTGGCTCATGGAAGTAGCAAATGAGGTAAAATTGATGATTCTGGGCAATTCGAAATGATGTTTGGACAGACATCAAGCTCAAGGATTACACGGTTTAATCTTCCCTCGAGATTGCATTGGAAAAAGATTATTTATTTTTTTAGGTATCCAACTTGACAATATAATGAATATATTACTTAAAAAGAATGTTTTCCAGATCAGACCCAAAAGTTAAGCACCATCTTAAAAGCTTAGCCAAATGTTTCATTTGTTGGGTTTAACCTAAAAAACATAATCAAAAAGGAAAATATCTTTATGCTAATCACAAATGACATACAAGACTGATAGTTGGGCTCCCAGACATCGTGCACAATGGGATAAGATAAAAACAACAATATAGTAAACTAACAAATTTAACAACCATAATCAACTGTAAGCTATTTGGCATTTAGCAACAACCATATTAATCAGATTAACTGAAACTGATTTCATTTTTCGTACTAATTCCCAAAAGAAATAACAGAAAAGGAAGAAAAAGAAATGCATAGCCCCACAAATTCTTCATATAACTACACCCAATTGCTCACTCATCATCCTCGTCATCATCTTCATCATCATCCTCCTGCAATTGTAGTTTACCAAAAGCAGAAGAAAATTAAGTACACAAATATTTTTTATTACAGCTGAAACTAACTGAGAAACTGGATTTGACCAATTATGTGGTGAGGTGCACTATAAAATATAGACAATATTAATAAAAGCAAAAAAGAAACTATTATCTTATCCCATCAAATCATATCCATCCTAGGATACCAGACCAAAAAGCAACTTTATCACAACAAAAGATTTGAACTACATACACAATTTTGACAAATCAAGGAGCAGTTGAAGCTAAAATCATATCTACTATAAGGTCAAGTTCTCAATTAAAACAACTGCAGTGGTACTATACAGTTGAAATTAAAAGCTCGACTTCTACAATTATCAATATGTTTGAGCCACATTTTAGAAAAGAATGCATTATTCAAGTCAAATCAATGGAAAATATGTGGTTAAAAAATAAAGAAAAATTCAAGACATACATGTAATATTATTTTATTGAAAAATATGTGATTAAAATGAAGTCAAATCACCGTTGAAGAATATATATTTTTTTAAAATAATGTGGCTTGTTTTCCACAGTCAATTTTTTATCCATTGTTGCTTGTCAATGAGTACCGGTTGAGAGGAAAACAAATATATACAGTACAATATCTTAATTAAGAATGGAAAAGTAAAAAACAATGTGTTTTTCTTCCCTGCTCCTTACATTCCACGAGTAAACAAACCATGAGGAATTCTTTGTTAGAGCAGGATAAATTGAATAAGGTACAAGAGCACATTTCAGTAAGCTTAGAATTAATAAGTAAACGTTAATTAACACTAACATTTTATTGTCAAACTGTCTCAAGAAACTGGTTTTTTAAATTAATTGAAAAAATTCCTAAGCTTAACATAATGAATTTATTTTCTTTTGGTAAATAAAAAATTCATCTTTTAAAGCTTATATTTAAGATTGTAGCTAAGCGTGCACTAATTGATTAAATAAAGAATGAATAAACTTAAATAGTGTACAAACCTCTCCGCTTCCTTCTTCATCATCCTCATCATTCACTTCAGAATTTGACTTCTCCGATTCTTCTTCAGCAGGTCCTTCAGCCTGTTAGAAATGTAAGAATTAATGGTGTTTAAATAAACTAGTTGGTTTTTATTTTGAGAGAAAACTAAAAGAAAATTACCAGTTTTTTATTGTAAGCTCGAAGTTCCTTTTCGTAATCGACCTTCCTTTTCTCCGCCTTTGTTACGTAAGGAGCTTTCTCCTGATATTAACGTTCAGAAATTTAGAACAAATACATACATAAATTTACAATTAAAAAAAGAACAAACTATGGAATGCTTACAGCCGCTGAAAGTGATTTCCACTTGTCCCCTCCAGCTTTTCCTACCTGAATAAATTATTAATTTTGAAATGACGATTATAGTTTTATTGCAACAAGAAGTATAAACACACATAAATTCGAGAAAATTTCTAGACTTTGAAACGACTTTAACTATGTCTTCTTTATCTAAAAGTACAGAGTGGACTTACAGCCGCCACGGATTTGTTGTTAGGGTGCTTCTCTTTGTAGGTTTTTCTGAATTCCTCCCTTTAATAGATCAAAAAAAGGAACCGTAAATAACATAATAATTTATAAATTACACACACACTCGCAAAGAGAAATAAAAGTGAGTTCGTACATAAAAACGAAGAAAGCACTGGCAGGCCTCTTCGGTTAAAAACAATGTGTTTTTCTTCCCTGCTCCTTACATTCCACGAGTAAACAAACCATGAGGAATTCTTTGTTAGAGCAGGATAAATTGAATAAGGTACAAGAGCACATTTCAGTAAGCTTAGAATTAATAAGTAAACGTTAATTAACACTAACATTTTATTGTCAAACTGTCTCAAGAAACTGGTTTTTTAAATTAATTGAAAAAATTCCTAAGCTTAACATAATGAATTTATTTTCTTTTGGTAAATAAAAAATTCATCTTTTAAAGCTTATATTTAAGATTGTAGCTAAGCGTGCACTAATTGATTAAATAAAGAATGAATAAACTTAAATAGTGTACAAACCTCTCCGCTTCCTTCTTCATCATCCTCATCATTCACTTCAGAATTTGACTTCTCCGATTCTTCTTCAGCAGGTCCTTCAGCCTGTTAGAAATGTAAGAATTAATGGTGTTTAAATAAACTAGTTGGTTTTTATTTTGAGAGAAAACTAAAAGAAAATTACCAGTTTTTTATTGTAAGCTCGAAGTTCCTTTTCGTAATCGACCTTCCTTTTCTCCGCCTTTGTTACGTAAGGAGCTTTCTCCTGATATTAACGTTCAGAAATTTAGAACAAATACATACATAAATTTACAATTAAAAAAAGAACAAACTATGGAATGCTTACAGCCGCTGAAAGTGATTTCCACTTGTCCCCTCCAGCTTTTCCTACCTGAATAAATTATTAATTTTGAAATGACCTAGGAAAGAATGCATTATTCAAGTCAAATCAATGGGAAATATGTGGTTAAAAAATAAAGAAAAGTTTAAAGAAAAGTTTAAGACATACGTATAATATTATTTTATTGAAAAATATGTGATTAAAATGAAGTTAAATCACCGTTGAAGAATATATTTTTTTAAAAAATAATGTGGCTCTTTAAGTCCCATATCTTGTTGGGCATGATCCGAATAAAACAAAGCTAAAATCGATTTATTCTACAGTCAATTTTTTATCCATTGTTGCTTGTCAATGAGTACCGGTTGAGAGAGAAACAAATATATACAGTGCAATATCTTAATTAAGAATGGAAAAGTAAAAAAAATGTGTTTTTCTTCCCTGCTCCTTACATTCCACGAGTAAACAAACCATGAGGAATCCTTTGTTGAGCAGGATAAATTGAATAAAGTACAAGAGCACATTTCAGCAAACTTAGAATAAATAAGTAAGCGTTAATTAACACTAACATTTTATTGTCAAACTGTCTCGAGAAACTGGTTTTTTAAATTAATTGAAAAAGTTCCTAAGCTTAACATAATGAATTTATTTTCTTTTGGTAAATAAAAAATTCTTCTTTTAAAGCTTATATTTAAGATTGTAGCTAAGCGTGCACTAATTGATTAAATAAAGAATGAATAAACTTAAATAGTGTACAAACCTCTCCGCTTCCTTCTTCATCATCCTCATCATTCACTTCAGAATTTGACTTCTCCGATTCTTCTTCAGCAGGTCCTTCAGCCTGTTAGAAATGTAAAGAATTAATAGTGTTTAAATAAACTAGTTGGTTTTTATTTTGAGAGAAAACTAAAAGAAAATTACCAGTTTTTTATTGTAAGCTCGAAGTTCCTTTTCATAATCGACCTTCCTTTTCTCCGCCTTTGTTACGTAAGGAGCTTTCTCCTGAAATTAACGTTCAGAAATTTAGAACAAATACATACATAAATTTACAATTAAAAAAAGAACTAACTAAGGAATGCTTACAGCCGCTGAAAGTGATTTCCACTTGTCCCCTCCAGCTTTTCCTACCTGAATAAATTATTAATTTTGAAATGACGATTATAGTTTTATTGCAACAAGAAGTATAAACACACATAAATTCGAGAAAATTTCTAGACTTTGAAACGACTTTAACTATGTCTTCTTTATCTAAAAGTACAGAGTGGACTTACAGCCGCCACGGATTTGTTGTTAGGGTGCTTCTCTTTGTAGGTTTTTCTGAATTCCTCCCTTTAATAGATCAAAAAAAGGAACCGTAAATAACATAATAATTTATAAATTACACACACACTCGCAAAGAGAAATAAAAGTGAGTTCGTACATAAAAACGAAGAAAGCACTGGCAGGCCTCTTCGGTTTGTTAGGATCCTTAGCAGGTTTCCCCTTCTTCGTGCTCTTGCTTGCTGCAGCAGCACCCTTCTTAACCGAAAGCCTGTCCACAAATAACCAAATATAACCAAAATAATCTTCAAAACAATAAAGACGCTAGATCGAGAAATAGTCAACAGTATGAACAAAAGAAAAAAATTGAAAAAATTGAAAAACCGACTTGCTATCAGCTTTCTTGGTTTCAGCCTTGGATCTACCTCCTTTCATGGCGAAACCTGCAAAGAAAAAGCGAAAATCGGTTAAACTCGGTCTCGAATCGTTCCGAATCGGTGCGAATCGGAAGAGTCAGCGGCGCACACCTACCTTTTCTAGGGTTGAGAGAATAAAAACAATAATAACACACAAAACAAAGAGATATGCTTTGGCTTTGATTTGGTGTGTGGTATGAGATATAGAGAGAGAAAGGGGTGCGGTGGGGTTTTGAGGGAAATAGCGTAAAATTTCGCCCAGAATAGATTCACAGGACCCGTTGTAGCCCGGGCTTGCGCGGGATTTCAAATTTTCATGCCACGTCATTGATCCGTGTGAATTCATGCTATTGGCTTAGATTCCCATTTCATTGGCTTTCTATTACCTTCTCTTGGCTCTGTGTTTCTTCTTAGAATAATCTGGTCCGTTGACTGGGAATATTGGGACACGATACGACATCCTGGAGTTTAAGGGGGTTTTCGTCATTTGGTTACGCTTGTGGTACTTTAGTGCTGGAATGACTGACTTAACCTTTGCGTTATGACGGTTTAAAGATATCTTCATAAATAACAAAAATAGAGACGCGAGTGAGTTTTTAAGGTTATTTATGTAATTATGTTGCTCCTCATCAATGATTTATAATAAAGCATTATATATTTGGGAAAAATTTACTATCAATATTGATGTTCACAGATGTGGTAATGCTCGACCTCGAACTCAAACCCCTGATCTTGTGTTTTCCTAATTATCCAAACTATGAGGTCGGGCTAGACGCACAATTGGACATTGAAAGGCTGGGCTGAACGTCATGAGAACGAATTACCTTATCTCACACCTTCTTGAAAACATCGATTCCACTTTGACTATAATTCTCCATAACCTTTACCCTCATCCAAATTGCTTACCTATCACGGTTTGATTCAAACTCAAATAGAACACTTTCAATACAACACAAGCACCTTGAACGATAACAATGAGGATTACAGGTGGTTGGATCCTTTTAAGAATTCCATCACCAAAATTTATAAATACATGACCAAAGTTCATTATACAAGTATATTTTTATACAATTTTTCAATTAACAACCTCGTGCATAAATTTGCTCTCTAACTTAGACATCGGAGGTGGCAATGATGACACACCTTGACACTTTGTTTCAGGTACTGATAAATCTTGTCCGTGCTCAGTCTCAACCACCAAACTCAAAAAGCAACATGTACGATTTTTGATAACATCAAATATCATCCTTTCTAAATAAACAGAATTTATCTTAAAACTAAATGTAAATAATCTATATTGTGCTACAGCGAGATTGGCTTAACTTATAAAGTTTACTTATAAATAAATTTATTTATAAATAATTATGTAAAATTTGAAATAATTTATATTTTTTTACTTAAATTTATTTGGTTGTTATGAGTAAATTTATATAATGCGCTAAAATCTTGCGAATTAACGATATTGTAAACAAATAATAAAATGGATATAGAGTTCGGATTATCGTACTTAAGAGGAGTAGATATATAATCTAGTTTTCAATTAAACCTGACTTTAAATCGAATAGTAAAATTTAATGAATACATTATATTAACAAATTATATCCATGACTATTTAACTAATCAAACTAATTGAGAGGCATTTGTGAATACTTCACTAATAGCATTCACTATGATTTTCTTTCTTTAACATCAAGTGCACTTGAATAGGGGATCTTTCTATAATTAAAACACTATTACATTCAATTAGGTGAATATCAACTCAATTAATCATGTTTTATCAAGTCTAGAACCCGTAAAGAATATCTATATTGTCGAGCATGGCAGTACTTTGGTAATATATTTCAGATACATATGGTTAGGTGACGAGACATTGTACCAGATATGGCGATATTCTGGTCAGCACGTTTGTTATAATCATATTCACACTATCATTCCTATATCGATTTTCCTAGTTTCTATGGATCGAGAGGAATGATACGAAGCACAAAAAAATTTGCATGGTGCATATACAAATTATCGAGAGGGTCTACTGCATGATTTCGTTTATACATACAGGTCAGGTGTTTCGACCTATACATTGGCAAGGCGATTACGAGCACTTTATACAAAATGGTCTACTAGGAAGCAGAATTTGGTTGATTGGACCAAACCCCTTCCCTCTCAAACAAAAAAACTGAAATCCATTATGAATGCATGAATGAATGGCCAATATTTGTTGAAGGTGTTATCACAGGCCTCTCAACTCACTTTAAGATACCTTGAATCGGAAACAAGAAAGTGGCCTTCAATGAAAGAAGTCGTTGAGCTGTTGGAGCGGATCGAAGCCACGAAGGTAGAATCCAAATTATAGGCCTATGCATTAATCATCTCTCAACTTATATATCCTCATTTGTACCATTTCTTGTAATATGTAGCAAACAATTATTATTTTGACAAATATTCAAATTGTCCCTTGAAAAGTAAAATGCGAAGTGACCCATATAATTGCACGTCAATGTGATTGAGTATTACATTTTGCATATCTATCTATTGCATTACCAATAGATGAAGTTTTATTTAGGAAAAATTGCAGCAGAAGTCCCAAATCTTTGAAATATTAATAGGCTTTCCCCAAACCTTTCATTTGTTGCAACCGTCACCCATAATATTTCCAAACGTTGCATCGGAGACCCTTTTGGATGGTTTTCGTCGAAAATTCAGTTAGTTGACCATCAAACTAAACTTTGACAACCTTTTAATCAATTATAGAAGGGCAAAATGGTAATTTTCTATTTATCACATTAAATAATTAAAAAACTAAAATCAAAAACCATGAAAAAAGAAAAAGAAAAGAAAAAGAAATGCTTCTTCTTCTTCTCCCCCACCCCACCCCACCCCACCCCACACCACAATCTGAAACCAGATTGAGTGCACGCTACACCTACCAGAAGAAATGGCAATAGCTATTACTATGCCTTTTACTCTTCCTTGCGAACTTAAACTCCCAAAACACTTTCACACCCACAAAACACCATAGATAATATTAAAATTAAACCAAAATCTCAAAAATCAGGCATTTTCTGAATTGCCCACTTTGTTTTCTTTGCCAAATGTACAAAATTCGAGAAAACCAAGAATTATCACCGGCGCTCATGCTTCAGCCCAGCTTTTAACGCAAGTTCATCGGAAAATGAGCCGAAATCGACGATTTGGGTGGTGTTAAGATTGAAGAATTGCAACCAATTGATGTGGTAAATTGGGGATTATTGTGGAAGCTGATTTCATGGAACAAGTTGAGACCCATTGCTTGGATTCTTAGTCTTCCTCGTTGCACAGCTAGTACCCTCTCCATGCCCATATTCCAATATGTTAGACTGAGGGGTGGGGTTGGTTTGGTGGGTGCGGGAGAAATAAAATATTATTATTTTGCCATTCTAGAATTGATTAAAAGGTGGTCAAAGTTTAATTTGATGGTTAACTAATGGAATTTTTGATGGAAACCATCCAAAAGGGCCTCTGATGCAACGTTTGGAAATGTTATGGGTGACGGTTGCAACAAATGAAAGGTTTGGGAAAAGTCTGTTAATGTTTTAAAGGTTTGAGACTTCTGCTGCAATTTTTCCCAAATAAAACTTCATCTATTGGTATTGCAATAGATAGATACGCAAAAATGTAATACTCAATCACATTGACGTGCAATTATAGGGTCACTTCGCATTTTACTTTTCAATGGACAATTTGAATATCTGTCAAAATAATAATTGTTTGCTACAAATGACAAGAAATGGTACAAATGAGGATATCTGAGTTGAGAGATGATTAATGCATAGGCCTATAATTTGGATTCTACCTTCGTGGCTTCGATCCGCTCCAACAGCTCAACGACTTCTTTCATTGAAGGCCACTTTCTTGTTTCCGATTCAAGGCATCTTAAAGTGAGTTGAGAGGCCTGTGATAACACCTTCAACAAATATAGGCCATTCATTCATGCATTCATAATGGATTTCAGTTTTTGTGTTTGAGGGGGAAGGGGTTTGGTCCAATCAACCAAATTCTGCGTCCTAGTAGGCCATTTCGTGTAAAGTGCTCGTAATCGCCTTGCCAATGTATAGGTCGAAACACCTGACCCGTATGTATAAATGAAATCATGCAGTAGACCCTCCCGATAATTTGTATATGCACCATGCGAATTTTTTTGTACTTCGTATCATTCCTCTCAATCCATAGAAACTAGGAAATCGATACATGTGACAGTTAGTGATTTGTTAAATAAGGTAATAAAAAATTATCACATTAATGTATCAAACTACTAACCGTCACGTGTATGCCACGTAGGACGACTAAGACAGTGAGCAACTGTAAATAACATTACTCACTTAAAAAACATTGCCAAACACACACTAATTTTGTACCAAAATATGTTATGATGCTAACGAAATAAACGTTATTATACTTTTTCATAAGGTTGAGTATTTGAAATGTGTGAATTGTCTAAAGAATAAAAACTTATCCCAATAAAGGTAATGATATCCTTGCTTTTTGAGGAAAACGTCATCATGGGACCAGCTTTCGAAAAATATTTTCATAGATTATAATGTCAATCAAACATTTTAAAAGTAGAAATTTGAGTGAAAAAATAACAAATTTCATGGTAAATAAAGTCGATCAAATACATCTTGATGTAATGGATTATGTAAGTCACATCCGTTCGAATATCTCCAAACCTAATGTGAGTTTTCTATTTGAAATTGCACCCATCTGTACTGGACGAATAGGAAGTGCAAGAATAAAATATATATTTTAGAAATAAAATAAAAATCCTTAAGAAAAAAAGACACCAGTAAACAAACAAACATGCAACAAGTTTGAGATAATAATATCCCCGGGGCATAGTCCAGTGGTACAAAGGACAGGAGTGAAGTTATCTCACGTTTTGCTGGCAGCCATAATGTGGGGGTTCGATACTTGAAAAATAAAATTGGACTTCTTGTAAGCGCAGCGTACAAACAGCTATTATTTTCTGATCTGCTGAAGCACATCCCGTGATTGACCTCCCGCACAAATCTCTATGGACGGGTGGGGCCCTCAATTAAAAAGTTTGAGATAATAATCTTAGAAAGGATCCAAGACAACTCATTAGTGATTAATCACACACCTCATCCCGTTTGCTCATCCTTGCTAGTCAACTGTGGAAGAGGAGACCAATAATTGATTTAGAGTAGGAGTACCCACCAATTAATTGATTAATAATTCACAACTACGAATAGTAGAAACCCACAAATCTGTGTTTTCGAAATCATTTCTGCCCCTTTGCGTTTCTCTACGGAATAATTTTTTCCCGCCGACATTGCGGAATCATCGCCACACAGAGACACTGGAGATTCTATTGAGTTTTGATACGCTTTCTACAGTGTAATTGGTAAAACATGTGTTTCTGCTCTTCTTCTGTTACTTGCTCTCTACCTATGATTGCATAACCTGATTTCTGGTCTGTTTTCTTTATTAATTTATAATTGTTGGGGTTTCCATAATTTCTCCCCCGGGTTTTATTCATCTTTGTGTGACTAACTTCTGAATCTTGTTCGTTTTGATAAAAAAAATTGCACGTTTTCTGATTTGGTTTGGTCTGTTAATTTCAGAGGAGGAAAAAGATAGAGATTTTATTGAATGGAATACAGAGCTTATAATTTAAAGGATTCGTGGGAGCCTATTATTTTCATTCACTTTCTAACTTTTGGTATTTATGTGCAATTTAGACATATAGTAAAAGTACAATGATTGAGGCCCCTAATTCACGCAGCAAGTTAGGTTTATTGCTTCTTACATTTTGAACTATTTTGATTTGTGTACTACTAATCAATGACAGCTGCAGTTAATTTTACGTCTCGTTTTCTTGCCACTTTTCCCTTTTGTACAGTTTTGGTTTGAGGGGGGGCTTTTTCTTCTTTGGGTGTGGGTGTTGACTGTTGAAGGAGGGTTTCTTTCGGCTATTTAATCTTCTTTATGGGTGTTGATATGATATATTGGTTGCTGTCCAATGAATCTAACAGTTAAGGAGATAAGGTAATGGATTGTTCTGGCCCTTTAAAGAATATAATTCCTTTTGGCCAAAAAGGAGTTAATGTTATTTTTTCCTTTGTTTTTCTCACCTTAATGATGTAACTCATTTGGTTGTAGTGAATAAATGAAAGATATATGTTTTTTGTTCGTTTTTTAAGAAAGGTCTCTCAGATTCTCGAAAATTATGTATGAAGCTTCTTTTACTCGTTCTTTCATTTTTCTCCATGTTTTGGAAGGTTTCTTTCTCAAATATGATTGTGGGACGATGTTTTAATTCCTCTAAAATTGAAAATTTGATTGCAGTGCTGTAGACTTGACTTGGGGAGTATAAATGGAGAACAAAATTGAATCTTATGGTAGCAGTTTGGTTAGCCACATGCGAAGATTATTGTTTCGTGTTCTATCTGTAGGTCCAATTCCAAACCATATTGCCTTTATTTTAGATGGAAATCGAAGGTATGCTAAGAAGCGAAACCTCGGAGAGGGGATGGGTCATAGAGTCGGCTTTTTGACTCTCACGTCTCTGATGAAGTACTGCTATGAATTGGGTGTGAAATACGTAACTGTATATGCTTTCAGCATCGATAACTTCAAAAGACGGCCTGAGGAAGTTCAGGATTTGATGGATTTAATGCTGGAGAAAATTGAAGGATTGCTCAAGGAAGAAAGTATCGTGAATCAGTTTGGAGTCAGGGTTTATTTTATAGGGAACTTGAGACTTTTGAACGCCCCTGTTCGGGAGGCTGCTGAAAAGGTGATGAAAGCTACCGCAAACAACAACAAGAGCATTCTTCTGATTTGTGTGGCCTATACTTCAACTGATGAAATTACGCATGCTGCTCAAGAAGCTATTGAAGAGAAGCGGGGTGAAATCCCAGAGTCAAGTGAAGCAAGTATGGCCCAAAATGGTGAAATAAGTCAAGAAAAGCACGAGGGACATCGTACAATAAAGCTAGCGGATATTGAGAGGCACATATATATGGGAGTAGCTCCGGATCCTGATATTCTGGTTCGAACGTCTGGCGAGACTCGTCTTAGCAATTTTCTCCTTTGGCAGTCTTCAACCTGCCTTTTGTATTCCCCCAAGGCGCTATGGCCAGAGATTGGTTTACGACACTTAGTATGGGCGGTGTTGAACTTTCAAAGAGTTCATCCGTACTTAGAGAAGAGACGGAAGCAGGTATAATATATTTTCTGTGGTAATTTACATGGATGCAGGAAAATGCTAATGGAAATTACTGGGAAACGGGCACGTTGTCTTAAATACTTGAGCCTATCCATCCTCCTTTACTTCTATTTTCCTATTGACATGAGGCTCGAAACTGGGATTGGCTTTTAAGTTAGTGGCTCTGATTCCTCTGAAGATTCAATGTAGCATGTTAAATTATGTTTTTTCATTTCCCTGTTATGTACTTTGATACTAGCAATTTCGTTGTTTAATATACAGGGAAAAATTATACCTTTTTATGCCTCGTTGAATACAAATGCTTAGGACTACATTATTTTGATGATTCCAATACACATGCGTTGTGACAAATACATTGGAGGCTAAATACATGTCCAAAGACGTCATGTTCTGGCTCCATTAATTTCAAAATGTATTTTTCTGATTCTTCTTTTCAATCACATATTTTTCAATAAAATAATATTACATTTATATTCAATTTTCTCTTTTTTTTTAACTACACATTCTTAAAAAATCACTATGACAAAATACATTTTTTCTCAGAATCTAATTATAATGAAGCTCAAACGGGGGCTAAATTTCATCAGTATAGGATGATTAATGGTAGAAAGGCAATGAAATAGTGCATATTTATAATTATCTTCAACATCATAATATAAATATGGACGAATGATCTGTGATCTCTTTTATTATTGATAAATTCCTTTCTACATGAAAAGATACCAAAAAGAATCTTAAGCATGTGAATTCAAAATGAACAATTCTAAGGAATATAGTACCCAATCTTCTAGAATACATGTGGTGGAGGTTGAGAAAGTGGAACATTTAGCATAATTCAAATGACGGACGAAAGAAAAGCCCTTGCTATAATTATTGTGAAATGGGAAGTTGCTATTTCAAGAAGAAAAAGCAAGATGACAAAATTAATTTTGCGATTTAGCTATCGTTTGAACTTCATTATTTCAAATTTTAATAGATGTAATAGTATTTTATTTTATTTTTTTGGGAAAATAGGTAGATGAAATATTATTTTATAAAAAATTATGTGATTAAAAATATGAGAGGGAATAATAAAATTTAACGCGTGTTTGTCCACATTTTTGCTTGACTAAAATGAGGAAATCGAATGTTAGTCTGACACAATGGGTCCTCTAGTGCAGTCCCATTTAATTCAGTTTCTACCCCCATTTTCCAACATTTGCCCTTTGAAATTTGAAAGGCTGTTGGAATCTTTTCTACTTTTGATCCAATTCAATGAGGGCAAAACAGGAAAGTGTGGTAATTTATTTATATACATGTGAAATGATGGCCATGCAGCTGGGCCAACCACAATTAAAAAAAAAAAAAAAAAAAGTTAAATCCTAACCTTGAGGGCTCCCACTGCCTCCTCGCTAGAGTTTTGTGAGGGAAGTAAATCGCGGGATGTGTTCCAACAGGCCTGGGAACAAGAACTGCATGTACACTGCGCCTACAAGGAGTCTAATTTCATGTTTCAGGAATCGAATTTCCATACTGTGGCTGCCAACAAGGTATGAGATAACATCACTCATGTCCTTTGCATCACCGAACTATGCCTCAGGGGGCAAGCCCACCACAATTTGACATGAAAAATGCATTAGTGGGATGAAAATGAAATTATTCTATTTGTACAATATCTTCTAGCAGCTCATCATTGATGAAAATAGGGATTAGACGGGATTTTAATTTAATAGGGCCAAACGGGGTTTATTATATTTGAATTATTTTCATTTGTCACATCTTAATCTTAGTAAGGACTGTTTGTTGAGGAAAGATGTGTTGTACGAAATTACATTAAATAAAATAAATTATTTATATGGTTTTGTTCAAGTTTTTAGTTCAATTAAAATCTTGATTTTATGTTTTAAATACCTTAGTTAGTAAACGAATAAGTCTCAAAATAAAAGTTAGTTTCCTCTTGTTATGCATGATCTTATGTTTATTTTATTAATGTTCTATAATGTCCATGATTTTGGACAGAGGTTTTCTAACGTTAGTATTAAATGTCTTTTTTATAAGATTTAAGTTGGAAAAGAAGTAATAATTTGAGTCTTTTATAATCTTCTACTCTAACTTCTAATAAAAAGGGAAGGATGGTCTACTATTGATGCAATAGTAAATTAATCCAATTTTACTATGCATGATGTCATTTTTTATTTTTCATTTTGTTTATGTCAAACAAATGTTCTTCCACACATCATACCATTAGTATTAAAAAAATAATAATTTTAGTAAATATAAACTGCCATAAGCCAAAAAAAATAAATCTCTTCGCACATGAGCTTTAAAAAATAAAAAATAAATTCTCCACACAGTGCGAAGAGATGGTAAGCCATGTACGGAGTAAAAAAGGAAGAAAAAACTCTCTGCATAGTGCGGAGAGATGGCAAACCATGTGCGAAAAGTTGGCAAACTCTCCGTACAGTGCGAAGTATAAAAAAAATCTCTCAGCACAGTGCGGAGAGATAACATTCTATGCGGACACTGTCTTCACAAAGTGCGGACTCTCCGTACAATACGGAGTAATTAAAAAAAAAAAAACCTCTCCACACAGTGACTGTCACGTGTATTGCACGAATTTTGCATTTATCGTATTTTTATTAGGGTATGAATTTTAGTTTTTTGAAAAGTTTTTGAAACAATATCTATAAATATTTTCAAGATATAAGAAAATAATTGCAAATTATTTTTATAATTGCATAACAGTATTGTGTCATCTAGAAAAAAATATACTTGTATATTTCTTACTTGAATAATAAATATACGAGATTGTACAAATTATTTTGCTTGTATTCTTTGATAGTGTCGATACGATAGAATTGAATGTGAAGATTATATTTCTAAATTTTATGTAATTCAATATTGAAAAATTGAAGATTGAACACCATATTCATATGCATTTATATTTTGTATTTCATATATATTTAATATTTATTTTATGTTTATGTTTATGTTGAAAAAATAAAAATCTGGAATTTTTTTTTAAATTCGGTTTGGTAAGTGAATGTACGATATTCTGCATTCTCGGTATTTGTAAGTGCAAAAATCGGTATGTAAAAATACAGTAAGCTGCAAATATGGTAGGCAGCATATATGGTAAGCTGCAAATATGGTATGGTAAAAATACGATAAGTTATTTGTAAATACGATAGGTTGCATATACGGTAAGGTGCAAATACGGTAAGTTGTTTCTAAATACGGTAGGCAGCATATATGGTAAGCTATATATACGGTAAGCTACATATATGGATTTATAATTTGTTATAAATGTATAAAATTTATTTAATATTGAATTTTTTAAGTATTAAATGCTGTAATTCAATATTGTTTCATTTTTTATAATTGTATTTCCGAGAATTAAAAAAAAAGTGGTTATGAAAATGCTAATTTTTAAATGTGTTTTTTTGTTGAAGATAAAAATGATTTTTTTATATTATTTGTAAAAAAAAATTATTGTAATTTTATTAGCGTAATAAGAAAATTTATTATATATTTTGTAAGGAATTTTATTTATGGTGATTGACAAATATTCTTTCACACACGTATCATGCCAATAACATTAAAAAATAATAATAATAATTTTAGTATATATAAACTGCGTGAGACAAAAAAAAAAATTCTTTGCACATGAGCCAAAAAAAAAAGACTCTGCAAAGTGCGGAGAGATGACAAACTATCTCTCCGCACAGTGTGAAGAGAAAAACAAAAATTCTCAAGACTTTATCTGTAAGTTCCAAGAGGTCATTTCTCAAACAACTTTTGAGCAATGCATTGAACATTTTAATTCCTGCCCTACAACCCGAAAGTATAATTTCATTGAAAATTGTATCCGCTTCTAATATCCAAGAGCTGTTATCAAGTAAGTGTAAAATATTGAATTTGGTGTACCTTAAAGCCTCCATTTGTGAAAGCAATGCTACGGTATTATCAATATCCCCTTTTTTTTGCATAACTCATATATTGTTTCATTGTATGAATCACGTGAAAGCTCATTTCCAATACCGTAAATATGATTTGCATGCTCAGAAATTGAGCTGTGACTGGAATTTAAAAAAGATACAATTAATTTTGAGCCATGTTTTTCGACTCTGTTTCGTTGTATATACGAAAAATCTACAATCTTGAAATTTGACTTGTAATTAAGGAATTTGAAAACAACTCTTTGCACTGTGCGGAGAGTTTTTTTCTTTGTACTGTGCGGAGAATTGGTTTGTCATCTCTTTGCACTGTGTGAAGAGTTTTTTTCGCACCGTGCGAAGAGTTTGCCAACTCTCTGTACATGGTTTAACTCTCTTTGCACTGTGCGGAGAGGTTTTTTTCTCTCCGCACCTTTTTTTATTTTTTATTTTTACTCCACACTTGGTTCAACTCTCTCCGCACTATGCGGAGAGTTTTTTTTTTTCAATTTTTCAATATTGAATTACAAAAAATTTGGAAATATAATTTTCACATTCAATTCAATCGTATCAACACTATCAAAGAATACAAGCAAAATAATTTGTATATTTCTTATTCAAGTATGAAATATACAAGCATATTTTTTCTAGATAATATAGTGCTATGCAATTGTAAAAATAATTTGCAATTATTTTCTTATATCATGAAAATATTTTTAGATATTGTTTCAAAAACTTTCCAAAAAACTAAAATCCATACACTAATAAAAATACGATAAATACAAAATTCGTGCAACGCACGTGATAGCGACTAGTTATTAGACAATTCACAAAAGTGCGGACCGGATTGAATGAGACATCAAGGGAAAAAATTAAAAAATTTAATGTCCAATTAAGTCCAATACTACGTATCAAACATAACTTAAATTTATTTTTTTCTTTAATATTGTTTAGCATGCATTATCATACATGTAAAAAATTGAGCATTTACAGAGAAATGCATCATAAGGTTCGTATCAATGAAGTCACGGCATGTTTAGTAACAAACAATTATTTATTTATTTATTTATTATTATTTTGGGGGCGGCGGGGGGGTGTTCTCTTTCGGTCTAGTACTAGGTAATAATTCAAAGACGGAAAGTGAATGAATTGATTATTCAAGTGATGAGATTAGCTGTAAACAATTGATCTTGATTTGAGAAGTGACTTTATCATAAGATTGATGACATGTAATAACTATGACATGTCGAAACTTAATATATGTCTTGATTCATCTAACGTGAGATGGAAGTCAATGTTTAATCATTAATGATGGAAACTCGACCTAACACTTGAAACATCAATAAGCGTAAGGACTAATTTTTAATACACTCGTATGAATATATTGTCATAGATTACTTTAGTTACTCTGTATTCTCGATAATTCTACCTATATGATTGTTGACGGTGGTGCCATCTCCAAAATAATTCGGCGAGCTACTTAAGATACCCATGGAATAAACCAAAATATTCAACACATGAAATATTCACATGCTGGTTTATTAACACTAAATGATTTTTAAGTTCGTGAGTGGAGTTCTTCGATTAGCCATATAGGGTCATTGGTTCAAAGCCTAGCTACTATGCTACCTTAGCGATCATTTGAGATATTTATACTAAATGGAGATTCAAGTCCAAAAGTCACCATCATCTATTGGTAAACTTGGTGATTATATAGGGGAGATTTTTTTCAAAATGTCAGTTGTTGAAAATAATGAAGGATTGGATTGTTTCAAGAGTTTTTCTAAAATATCGTTTAGACATTGTGCGATGTATCAAAGAGCACATTCGAGTCATGGATGATGTATAGAACAAAGGTTCAAAGGATTGAGTCGAGGTGCGGGGTTGTTATGGTTGGCCGAGTTTGGTTAGTCGAGGCCGCAAAAGGTACCTGTTCGTGGTTTTAACCACTTTTTGGCCCCCTTTCTGTGCTAGTTCGGTTATATGGCCCTTCTTTGAGCTCTATTTTGGGGAAAAAGAACGAATTTTTGAATAGTGTATTGATGGGAAATGTGTACTTAAAAAATAAGGAATTTTTTTTGAATTTACGTGTAATATTATTTTATTAAAAAGTGTGTGGTTGAAATGATATTGAAATACTATTGAAAAATGCATTTTTTATAGAATGATGCTCAAACAAGAGCATAGTTTAAAATTGAAGTGTTGTGAGTCCTGTGAAGAGATGTAAGTCTCGGAATTATTACTATAATCTATAAATAGGTTGATTGTTTCTTAAGAAAACATATTCTCCTCAATTTTCTTGTTCTTGCTGCTCTGGTGTGTTTGATTGGAAAAAATTTCTATGAAAAATGACATTTTGCTATGTAAATATCAACTTTTAGAATGTTTGATTGCCATTTTTTCATGAAAATATGCTTAGTTTTTTTCATTGTTTTGGAGGAAAACGTTTGCTTTGAAAGAAGTAGGTTTTTATTTTCCTCAAAACAAAGAAAATATTTTCTTCTCTAAGCAATATTTTCCATGCTAATCAAAGAATCTCTCATATATACAAAGTTATAAATAGGGTTTTACTCGGTATACAACCCTCTCACAATAGGAGAAATTGCGATTTTTCCATTGAGCCAAGGCCCCTTAATGTAAGGAACACCCCAGTATACAAATAACAAAATCAATACAGCCCCCAGGGCACATCTCCAAGTGTTAAAAGGGGAGGGTGGAGAAATCCAACTTTGTTTGAGGCTGCTGCGTCAAGGGTTCGAATCCTGAAATATGGATTTGGCTCTTGGGTAAGTGCAAGTGTACAAACAGCCTTCCACCCTTTACTCTTGGAGGCATAACCTGCGATTTACCTCTCTCACGATACTCCAAGGCAGGGATGGTGGGGAACTCTTAAAGTTAGGGTTTAACCTTTAACAAAATCCATACAAATACACCTTTTGCGTTGATTTCGTCATCATCAATTGCACCACTTCCAATAATCATTACATTGATTTCATTGTATCCCGAAAACGAATTTGTCATTCAGTGAGGGACAAATATCGTTTTTAAAGAGAGCAAGAACTTGGTTTTGAAATCTACTGCAGGTTTCAATTCGTATTATGGCGATGCATATCCCCACCAAGTAGTGCTTACTCATTTTCTATAAATTTGGGATGTATTTTAATTCATTGGAGAACAGAACTAAGAAAACACTACTTATAAATAGCATTATTAAGGCCTGGGCAAATCTCCCGAACCGATCTGACCGAATCAAACCCGAATCGAACTTAACCGAACCCGACGGTTCTTATCAAATTAAATGCCCGAATGGGTATTTGAATTGAGAACCGACGGGTACGGTTCGGTTCTCGATTCTAGACCAAGAACCGAATATTTCTAATTTTTTTTATATTGAGTAAATCAAATTATTTTAATTTTAATTTTTTTTAAACAAATTAACAATTAACAATTTCTAAATCCAAATTTTTGGCTCAATAATTTGTTTCATTTCTAATTTTTTAATTTTTGGCCCAATTATCTATTTTATTGTTTCATTTCTTAGTCCAACAAGATCCAATCTACTAAATAACCATAAACACCTACACTAAAGTGCATAACGTTGTATCGACTCTCGCAGCCTCGCTAACATTGCAAAACCTATACAATCGTCGGCCGACGCTGTCACCTCCGAATCTCCGATCGAAACTGTGACCTCCGTCGATCGAAACTTTGACCATAGCGATCATTTGAATAAGGTAGTCTACTAGTCTCTGACATTCCAAAACCATTGAATGTATTATTAGTTGTATTTATATAATGTTGTTATAAATGTTAAAAAATTTAATTATAATACAGAACCGAACGAAACCAAATCGAACGAAACCGAACCCGAACGGTTCTATAATTATATTTAGATGCGACGGTTTCATTTACTAGATACCCGAAAATTTTGGTTCGATTCGAATCTCTTTATATCCGAACCCAACCAACCCGCGCCCACCCCTAGTATTATTCATTAAACAAATAAGGAAAACCCAGTTGTCTTCAACTATTGAATAAAAATGAAAGATATTGTTAGAATTTTTTTTTAATTATAATATTTATTTGGATGAAATGAAGACTAAATTCATGGAATAGGAGAAACTCGTGCTTGCTCCGTCCTTACAAATACATATATCTAGTTCGACTACCCTCTTCGAATCAATAATTAATCCATTTTTCAGAAATCCCTGCTACAACTACACATTTACACGAACTCGCTTATTGAAAGCAAGACTAAGAAAATAAATACTTCTTTATCCAGTAAACAGAGCAAGAGTAGTCAAACTTCTTGATGCTTTAGCTTGGATGAACTTTGCCAAAATGGATGTCTTTGAGTAGGGTAAAGTTCACATTATATAATTTACTTTTACTTTGAAAGTATCTTCCAAATTCGTCGAAGACTGAATCTGCCCGGAGCAGATAAAGGATGTAACGAAGAAGGCTACAATAATTAATGAAATGCAGCAAACATTTACTGCTTCCACTTTATTCCGGCCGATGTTACCAACCATATGCTCTGTGTCATGTTTGATATGAAGGGCAGGACAGCATTTAATAGTCTCAAGACAGAGAAGAAAACTGTCGAAGTCCTATTCACTACTGAGTACCAAACACGCCTTCAATGGCTACCTGGAAAAGAAAAAAGAAACGTGAAAACAGAAAGTCCCTCCTATCTGAGCAATCAGGAGCCGAGTATCCATAATTTCTGATACGATACAACAGCAATAAAAAGGAATTTCGATTTCCAGAAATTAAGTTTTACACCATTTACATCACACAATTTCAGGGAGAAAAGAAGGAAAAATGGACATAAATATACGAGATGGTCTCAAAGAAAGAATCTCTACAGTAAAATTTGACTCTTCTCCTCTTTACCTGATTCTTCCATCCCTTTTTTGGCTCAGAAACTAAATAAAACACAGGTTTCAAGTTAACAAACTACACTGTTACATGAAAGAATAAATTAGGGCTGCACCTTCTCTAATTTCTCTCATTCATCTTACCAGATATCACATGAAATTCCCACAAGAACGCAACAGAGTATACAGCACAAGGAAACTTGAGTGGTACCGATTTATGTGGATGTAGCTGCAGCAGGAGCTAAAGTTTTTGCAGGGATATTGACTCCACCTCCTCTCATGGATAAAGTAGGGTGACTCAACGAGCTCGCTCGACTGACAAGATCAGAGTCTAGAAATACAACTATCACTGTGATGTCATCATGAAAATGCCGCCGGACCCCACGATCGATCTTCTTCAAATCAGAATATCTCATTTCTCTTTTCTTTGCTGCTTCCTGTAATGCAGCTTTGACTAGCCTTCTAGCACTTCCCTGCATGACAGAAGCAAATTCAATTGCTCTCTTCAACTCTTGCCATCGATTTGAAGCATAAAAAGTTCCAAGTTTTCCCATTTTTCTTTCAATTTCAAGGGGGTGACATACTTAGCCTTGTTCCTAGTAAATTTGAGATCTAAATTCCCAAAACTTAGTAGATAGACCTATTTATTTAGTTACAACTTATGAGTCACAGGTCTTACATGGTGGGGTTGATTTTGTACTATGTCAACCGCCTCCTGATTGCCGAGGTGTTCCCAAAGGCCATCAGAAGCAAATATGAGAAACTTGTCATGTGGTTGAAGTTCAAGGACTGAAATTGATGGTTCGGCGCTTAATATGGGCCTTATAATAGGTTCATGGAGACGAAACTTGGCATATAAAGGTTCCCTGTTGAATTCGGCCTTCTTAAGATATGCGTCACCAATAGATCGAGAAACCTGCAAGATGAATTTTGACAATTAAAAGAGAAATTTTCAAGGTAAAATGAAATATCATCATTCAAAACATTATTAATAATAAAAATTCACATTTGTAATGAATTTATATACCTTGACTGAATAAAGTACAATGTTAAAACTCTACGAAAAGGTGGTGGTTTAATTCGATGGTGTTAAGGAGTTGTTAAAATGCAGGTATGGAATAAATAAATCAATGGACAATCTTGGTCCTCTTGAAAATAATAGTAAAAGTGAAGATCCGTGGAAATAGAAAACGGTGAAGAAAACATCATGCATTGAAAAGATTCCATTCATCTGTCATTTGTTAAGTAATCTTAAATCCGGACCCATGTGTTTATAACTGAAAAAATTTAGATTCGAATGAACAGGAAATACAATATTCAGTATTCTTCTTTTTTTGCATAAGTCCAAAAACATGGAATAATCTTGGGGTCAAAAAGGCCTTTACTCAAGCTAAACAAAGGGTCTCAACAATTACACAAGGACTTTCAAAAGCCTGTGCAAATAGGAATGAGATGTTTATTCCAAAAGAACAGAAAGAAACAGTGGTTTCCACCCAACTCTGTGAACGGGTGAAGAACCAGCCCCTGCTGATTCTGTTCCCAATGCCTCCCCATTCCAACATACCAAATGCTGGAGAACATTTGAAGGCACAACCCATTGCAACTTCAACAAATGGGAAAAGTCTTCCACAAATTTGCAGCCACTTCACAATGAAAATCGAGGTGATTCACATTCTCACCAGAACTTTTGCTCATCAAATGTCAATATAACGAAGTTCAATTCCACCTCAAATTCTCGGTAATGTCTCTTTTGCAACAGTCCAAACAGAGGACCACGTTTTCAGGTGCTTCACTTCTCCACAATTCCTCCATATGAAAGCTATTCATGTTAGATTTGGTCCAGAGAGTAAAATGGCTTCACGTCGGGTTCCTTAAAGCAAAAGCTTTCCATACCATTCTGTCCATCAGTATATATTTTTTGTAAACAAAGATACACAGCTTGTAGGTTGCAACTCTGCATGGCCATTTAAATATTTCATTACATCACAATTCTTGATAGAAAGCACCTGAACAATATTGGCTACCTAGTGTGTGGAAATTTTACTTTAAAATAGCATCTGCACAGCAGCCATGCTTCCAAAAACTTAACCTAGTCTCTTCCGCTCCAAAATCCATATTCTCCTCAAAGTATTCATTGTTGCTGTCCATGATTCAACCTATTTAAGGTTTCTGTGTTCAAACAGACCCATTTACACCCATCCTTATCCCTTACAACGGTTGTTTATAGCACGCAGCTCCCTAGCAAATCTCCAACAAGTTCCAAAGATAGGTCTATCTAACAGCATTTGATTTCTTATCCCTGACCATCTACATCTGACAGGCTTCTAAACCTATCTCAGATCACTCAGGGATATTTATTTCTCATCCTCTTACCTTATATATATAATAAATAAATAAATAAAACTTCCTAGCTGTTTCATCCTTTTATCAACTATGACAGGGATTGTGGGCACAGCCATAAAACATGGGAAGATTGTATAATGCACAGGTAATGTTAACAGCAACTGTTAGAAAATAGCTCCACTTTGAACCAACTATTTTTTTCAAAACTTACAATCAAAGAAATGGCCACAAAACGTGAGAATCTTTGTCGAAACTCCAACATGCTTATTATCGGGATCTCACACACTATCATCGGCAAACAATGAGTGATCCTTTTACATTTTCCCCACTAATGCTGACACTGAAGCCACTAATGAACCCTAAAGCAGACACCCTATCCAAAAATTACTAATCGCTTCCATCACTAAGAGAGGGGGGAAAAACGAGGGGACAAAGAGTCACCTTCTCCCCACCCTGCACTTCCATATCCAACAGCGAGCCTTTTGAGACATAAAGAATCTCATGGTTTAATATAAAAATAATTTATTTCTTCCATTTCTCATCAAAATATATCCTATTCATGATGCGCACAAAAATACCAACTTACATGGTCATGGACATTCTCCAGTTCTCCATATCCATTCTGCGAAGAACATCATGGTCAAGGATTTTTTTTGCTAAGAGACAGCATCAATTATTTAGCGGCCATCCAAATGGCATTTTTGAGATGGAGAATCCAAAACCCTATTTACTAGGGAAGAGAACATTCCGAAGTGATGAGATGCATGCTTCCTACGAGGCTTATTGGCTATGATCTCTGCTGTCTTCCTCTCCTTACTTTTATAGATTAAAGCCAAAAAAATCACATTTTAACCCTTCCCAGCACCTTAATCAGTGGTGTCTGGGGACTTATCCAAATAGTGAGTAGAAAAAGATAAGAAGTAATCAGGCTTTGGTAACTTATACCCAGAACAAGATTTCACAACTATGCTTGCATCTTTCATCAGTGAACAGCCCTTCAAGCTGAAGTTTATCTTCTTCTATTAATACAGAAAAACTCACCCCCTCAATCCCATATCTCCAACTCAAATTCTCAGAGTGGAGATTCTAATAGAAAGTCACTGCATTCGTCCTTTGTCTTGTAAAGACTTACAATATACAGTTATATTATACTATGTCCTAACAAACTAGGCAAAATAAACATTAATTAAACTTTGATAGCTTGAACTCCATTTACTCCCAGCATTAAAGCCTAATTGCCTTGAAAAGTCTTTCAATTTGACAGGCTCATTTTGCAAAAATAATCTAACAGGAACTATGGCCCCGTTTGGTAGCCATTTTTTTTTTCAAAATGCATTTCTCTCTCTCTTCTTTTCAACCACACATTCTTTATTAAAATAATATTACATGTAAATCAAAAAAATTTTCTTATTTCTCAACCACACATTTTACATCAATTTACTATTCTAAAATGCATTTTTACTTAAAAATGCCTATCAAACACCCCCTATATCACTCTTTTAGTTTTTATTCTAATCACATCTCTGTCATCCCCCAAGATGAACATAAAATTAGGACAACACTTCTGGAAGCAGCCTCATCATATTTAATTTTCACCACTCAACCAGGTTGAATCTCAACAGGCATTAATGCACTTCTAAGCCACAGCATCAGATTGAAGATTTAAGGATTGCATGGTACAAATTAAACAACAGAATCTTCTAAATGTGCATAGTACAAAATTAAGTAACGGAACTTAGATTGAAGATATAAGGACTGCATAATAAACAATTTAAGGATTTATGGATTATTGGATTCAGGTGACTGCTGAAACTAACGACTGCATACAGAGCAACAAGAATTGTAGTGAACTTTTTATCAGTCGACTAATATATGCTTTAATCTAGTAGGATTAGAATTTGTGGTCTCGACAACAAATAAAAACAAGGATAATCAAGATCATAGATGAAGTATGCAACTCATCCATTGAAATATAATCAACTATAGACTTGAATCCCATTCCTACTATGCAAAGAACTGACCTGTATCAATCCCTTCACACGCCACACATTATGCTTAAGAACTACTATCTGTGAGTCGTCTGGGTGCATAGATTTCAACTCCTGTCTGACTGACTCTATGCTTGCGTTATGTTCAGCCGAGAGCTGGATGGCAAGAACTTCACCAGTTGCTCTGACAACTCTTCCCAACACTGCTCGGGAATCACCAAGGTTAGCAATGTAAAGGATACCGTTACAAATCACACCCACCAGGCAACAGGAACCAACAGCAGCCAGTTGCGGTTTCTTCAGCCATTCTTTAGCAACCACCGATATAAACCCCTCTTCTGTTTCCTGAAATGCTTTCCGAATTACATCCATTGACATGGAGTTATCCTCAGCAGTGAACCCTGCAACAAACCAGTTTTAGCTGAATTATTTATGAAACAGCATTCTGGAAATAGTAGTTTTCATAATAGAGACAAAAGCCAAGAAATCAATAAAAAACTATTAACATCCCTAAAAGTCTTCTTCCACTAATTTATAAATGCTGTTCACCTACTCTTCAAGTTCTGAAAGAGATTATCGTTGATGTAGCGTGATGTCTCAGGCCCGCCATGACCATCATATACTCCCACAAATGTCCCATATGGGCCAGAATCAAGCAAGCTCAGGGAACCTGATTCAATCTGACTTTGATCTTCAAGCAAATTGTTGGCTTGCACAACAGCCATGGAGAAGTCACCAGTTAAGTGCTGCCCAGAATCTTTATACCAAAGTAAACCATCTTGCCAGCCAGTTGTATCAGAACCAGAGTGCGCATGATGGTCCGATGAACACCACCAGCATTTCTGCAGAAAATTTATCAATCTTGATAACATCCCTCATCTCACCCCTATATACCACCTATTCCTGAACATCCAAAACGGATGCAAACAGCACTCTTGCTAAAACCCTCCAAGTCCCCAATCACCAGTCTTTCCTACAAATAAAAAAGGAAGAAGAAAAAACTGTAAAATGTTAAAATTAAGCACAATACAATACAGATCACAAGCTCATAAAAACAACTAAAAATGATAGCTTTATTGCAGAGTTCACACCAGCAATTAGAAAAACAGGTCTGAAGTTCAAAACCTAGCCTTAGTTGTACATAAAGAAGGAAAACAACAACGACCCATGTCCCAAAATTTTAACATTCGTAGAAAACGGGAAAAACTGATGAAGTGTAAAAGGGCAAGAGTGGAATCCGCCCATTAGAATCTACAATATAACAAGTCTTTCTTCTTCAACACGAAGAATACACACTAAATAAATAAAAATAAAAAACCCACAAAAAGATAAAACGGCCTCACTCGATTTTCCAGTAGAAATTGAAGGAGATACTCACAATACGTTTAGGCCTTGTTGTGATCAGTTTTTGGTCACTTACTGAATCATACCAAATGACGAAGACTGAGATCTGAAAGAAACGTTGCAACCCATGTGTTGTCAAAAGAGTTAGATCTACGGATCCACCAAATCACCATCTTATACATAGAAATACAAAAATATGTACCTATAAATACACTATGACATGCACAAATAAACACTGTTCTTTTGTGGATTTCTATTCACTTTTTCCTGTCTTTCTCTCTCTATTTCTTGATTGATGAAAAATGAAGAGAGAGGGGGGGAAGATGATGGTGATGACGAGGATGACGATGGCAAGATAGTTACTTTTCTAATGTAGCTCCGAAAAAACCCTTTGTTGACTCTCTCTCTCTCTACAATTACAATGTTCCTTATTGCGGTAAACAAATTCTGTAGGTGAAATCAACAGCACTGGAACGTGGATTCTTTTTCCATCAAAAATTAAGAGGAAATTTCATTGGTCCAAAATTTGGTTGTACATTATCAAAAATGTCACATTTTAAATTTTTTATCAAAAATGTCAATTTAGAACATTTTTTACCTTTTGAATTATTTAAATACCTTATATATTAATTTTCAATCAGATGTATGCAAATTTTGAATTTGCACAACAGACCCTGATCTCCAATTACCCAAATTTGCTAAAAACTTGGACCCAAATTTTTTTTTCTTTTACCGCATTGGCAATGGCCGGCGCTCGCTGCTGCTGTTGCAATTCAGCAAAGACGCTCGCCGCTACCTAGAGCAGAGGCTGCTAGTGCGAGCGCCGCTGTCCAGCAAGCGCCGTCGCCTCTGTCTAGAGTAGCGGCGAGCGTCGCGCTCCTCGTTGGCGGCGGCAACCGCCTTTACCCTTTTTTCTTTTTTTTTTTCCTATTTCGACCCAAAATTTATCCAATGATTATAATATATGAATTTAACTAATCATAATCATAACATTAATTGGATTGGAAAACTAACATTAAATGCTCCTAAAAAGGGGACATGAAGGGTAAGTTGAACATTTCCACAAAAAAAAGTAACATTTTTTAATAAAATTAGGTCCAAATGCAAATTTTTTGTGCATTATAAAAAAAAAAGTGGCATTTTTTATAATTCCCCTAATATTAATGTAATTCTTGTGTTTTGACAGGTGATTTGTGCCCACCCAGCAACCTAGGCACTATTCCAACTTCAATACAAGAAAATGATGGCCTCCCAATTTTCGATTACTGTGAGAACACAATTGATTATTAGTTATCTACTTATCCAACTTTATTTTGTTTTAAAATGGTTATTGGATTTTTTCATTTTTTAATTTAAATTTCCTCTGTTAAATGTTGTAATAAAATATCGGATCTTCAAATTGGTGTAGGATTGAATTGTTATCGTAAAGATGGACAATTTAAATGGAATTAAATTGGAACTTTCCCCTTTGAACTAGATCATAACAAAAAAAAAAAAAAAAGGTTTTGCCATCGATTCTCGAATTTTGGTTCCAGAATCGAATGCCCGGCCGGATTGGAACCTATTGACACTTTTTTAATTTTCTTTGACAGTCCATTTTTTGAAATGTTTTTTCCACTCAGCCCTGCCTAATCATTAATGTGAAGATCAAAGAAAATTGAAGCATTGGGTAGATTTTCTTTCTGTTTTGGCTTTAGTAAAAGCTGTAAGGAAAAAATTAATAATGTTATTAATCTAAAGTAATGATTAAAGGAAAGATGAACTCCATTAAAGATAGGAAAAAGTAAGTATTTTGTTGTAATTACGATTTTGACTTTCTGTATTCAAACGTATCCTTAAGAAAATTTCTAGGCATTTTTAGAAATTCAAATAAAGTCCCCATTGTTAAAAAATAAAATTCGACCAGCTTATTATATCGAAAAAAGTAGTCAAAAGGGGACTAAATATCAACTTGATTATTAAGTTTAACGTGAATTTGTTTTCTATTCTTAAAAAATTGCATTTGTAAAATCGAAGTAGAATCAGAACTATTCTAATTTGCTCCACTAATGACATGGAATCGAATTATACTATTTACAAAATACTCAAAATTTAATAAATGTTTTCAATTTTTAAAAAACTCTGACCGAACCTAGACTAATGAATTTTACTTTAAATATCGGATGACAGCAAAACTTAGATAATTATTATGAAACAAAATAAAAAATTTAGTAACCAATATGGAACTTGACTATAAGTGTAACGAACGGTGTTCTTAAACCGATCGAATATCCGGTGCAATTTTTTGAAGGCTCAAGACGTGTGAGAAAGTAGAAAACAAGTTTTTATTTATTTATTTCTAACTTTTCTCTATTTTGAAAGACAAAAATTGTTCTCTCTTTAGACTTATGAAAAGATGGATAAACATCCTCCTAATATTCCAATGTCCTCTCTAAATATGAATCGAATTGTCTTCTAGACAAATCTCAATCACATTAATGTCAAAGTATGAATCATGGTACCTTACGAAGAAGACTTCTAAACGAAGCACTCCATCCTTTAAGTTTCTGTTCCTCAAGTTCTAGTTGATTTTTGTTTTAGCAGTTGCTTTTTTGGAATGCGAGGTGCTCATGAGTACCTATCTCGGGATAATTTCAAAATGGCCTTTGAAAACAACTTAACATTTTCAATTGATAAAAGGTCTGAAATACCCTTAATGAATTCAAATAAGTATATTGTAGAATTAGTCCTATCTTTATCTTGTATTCCTTCTATTTTGAATATCAAAATATAAATCCATTCTATGATCTAATAAATTAGAATAATTTATAACATATTGTTCGTATTTTTCTTTAAGTCTATTATATTCTTCAGATAATATGTTAATATTTTCTAACCGAGAAGTAATATTATTTATATTTTCTAACAATTTTTCTAGTAAATTATCTAATCATTTAATAGTATATCCTGGCATCAAACTATCAATATAATGATAAATAATTCCTAAGTTTTTCTTTTTAGGCTATGAATAGAAGTCATAAGAACTTCATAAATAACATAAGTGCAACAAATAATGCAAGAATTTGATATAAATAAGAAAGATCTTACAGTACCGAAGCAGAAGATAAATGCAGAGTAATGTCAATGAGATTTCCCTCGAGCTTGCACCCATATGTTTGTATACTCATAAATAAGTGATCGGTGTTATTTGGATTTAGGGTTGGCAACGTTCGGTTATGGGTCGGTTCGGTCAAAACCATAACCGCACCACCAATTTTTTGATCATACCATAACCGCACCATAACCACGTAAATCGGTTCGGTTCGGTTCGTATCTCGGTTCGACACGGTTCGATTCGGTTAATAACCACGAAAATAAATTATTTTTTATAGGTTCATCCGTCAAATTGATATAAAATAATATATGAAAAAAGTCAATGAAAATAAAAATACAATATTCCATACGAAATGCAAACATTATCCCAATTTTCAATTGCAAAATACAAAATTAAAAAACAATATTATAAATATAATAGTACTAAAATTTTCCTTCATTCTAAATTGTTGTGTATCGAAATTACTTGATTCATTCTTCCCTTACTAGCATAGATCAGCATACAAAGTTGATTCCCATATAGTAAATAAAAAATGTAAGTAGAGAATACAACGATACTACCTATTCCAGAATAGTCTTAACTAAGATTTAAACTAAAAAAAATGTACCTCTTCGTCAACTTCCTTCTCACTAAACGTTACACAAGTTCTAGAGTACGATAAAGGAGTAGAATTTTCTACACAATAGAAAAAAATTAACAATAAAAAAAAGTGTATAAATAACAAATATAAAACAATAAATCCTACCATGAATACCAGTTCAAAGCCAATCCCAAGTACACATGAAAGCTTCTAAAGTCTTTGGGTGAAGCTTATTTCTATATGGACTCACAAATCTATCACTTATACTAAATGCTGACTCGGATGCCACAATAGATACTGGAATGGCTAATAAATCTCTTGCAACCTTCTGCAAAGTCGGATATTTTATTGAATTTGCTTTTCACCATGTCAATAAATTAAAACCATCCATCCTTGGCAATACTGGCACGTCTAGAAAAATATCGAACTTTATTTTTATATGATCAGCAGTAATAGAATGGTTAACAAATGTAACACATTTTCGGAGGTGATGACGACTTGGACCGTGGAGGCAGTGGAGTCGTGCATGAGTTTGTGGTTTGTGGAGAGTAGGGTTTGCATTTATATACTGTCATACTAATGCTATTATTATGGGCTAATGGTAAGTGGGCTGGCCGATTGAGTCAGGTAGATGTAATAAGGGGGATTTTGTTTTGGTTTGGATAGAAAAGTAGTGTAAAGCCCAATAATTAATTCAATTGTGTGCGTTTTTTTTTTTTAATAGCGGGTAATCGGTTCGGTTTCGGTTCAACGGTGTAAATACCATACCCGTACCATCACGAACCGGTTCATTAAAATCAAAATCATGTCCGCTCCATTGCACCATCGATTCGGTTTTTTTCGCCCCATTCGGTTCGGTTAACCGCGGTTTTCGATTTTGACGGTTCAAATTGTCATCTCTATTTGGATTTAAGAAAGTGGGTTATGGTCCAACACGACTTCCGCACACTCATGGGTTTTCTCTCTCGCTCTTTTGCATATCTCACAATGGATCACATGGAATCACAGTTTTCCTTTCAACTTCTTGTTAAAACATCACTTTGACGGGTAACAGGGTTCTCATGGCTTTCTCTAAACAAGCTTGAAAAGCCTATGCATGGTAACACAGCAATAAGATACTTGCACTAACCCTCAATGTTTTCACTGTCGGAGTAAAAGTGAGATAAAAGTTTTTGAGAAAATAATAAGGATAAAAAGACAGTGTCTTAAAACAACTCCATTTCATAAACACATTACACTAATATCTCTTATATAAGAGTATACATACATATTTCGGCTACACTCTTGGTACTTTCTCTAAGGAAATTAGAACTACATAGAGATTACCTTATTACACATTTCACTTTAAAGAAAGAAACTGAAATTGTTACAAAACTTGGAATACTAGGTTGAAAGATAAATTTTTGATTTAAGACTCGATGCCCTCCTTCTCAAAATTAGTCTTCAATTTATAGACTTGAAAAGCTCCATACTTGTCCTTCATTATTGTTGCGTTAACTGTGTAAGATATTGGGTATCTTACAGTGGCCTAAAGTTTTCTTATTGTAATATGGAAAATAATTGAGGTAAACTCTTAGTTTTTCTTTATTAGCATGGTTTTTGATAAAGTGGTGATAAAGGGGTTTTTCACTTTTCCATATATGACTCAAACCACTCTTCCGGAAATTCAGATGGGTCAAGAGAGATTGGTGAGTTGTTGCCTTCAGTGCAACAACACTCACACTTATGATTAGGGTAACGCCAAAACT